TGGTCGGATGTTCATTGAATAATACAAACCAAAATGTAATTACTTTAATTTGTATAATGATAATGATTATATTACCAAAAAATAATAATGGAAAAAAAATTTTCAAACAAAAAAAATGTTTAATAATAGCAAGATGCTTTTATAAGATTACGTAACTATGCCTGTTAAGTGTGTGTTAAATCAAAATTGTTGGCCATCTTGTTTGTTTGTTGTTGTCTAATAACTATTACATTCCATAAATGGGCAAATTCAATTCAATTTTTTTGAAATTTTGTTTTTGGTTTTTTTTTCGAATCGATCGAACCCCAAAATCATCATGATGATTAATCGGCTATCAGGGTAATTTGAAATGAAATGGAAAAATTTCAATTCAAATTTAGCGTCTCGATAGGTTCCGGTTTTGTTAGGCAATCTCAAAAACGAAACGAAACGAAAAGAAAAGAGAAGATATTTTTCCACTATCATCATTCCAAACATATCAAATGTCCAAATAAAGACATATTTTCTTTGCTTGGAAATTTCAAATCAAACACACAAAAAAAATGAATGTTTATGGTGATCATGCGATGACCAAATATATTTTGACTTTAAAAGGAATTTTTTTTTTTTGAAATCTGTTTGTTTGTAAGCATCCACCAATGATTCCTTTGGATAAAATACGTGGGTAGCTTGTATTTTTGGTGTAGGCGGATGGAAAGTAAGCAAGAATTTTACGTTAAAAAAATATTATATTTGTCATCAAACAAAAAAAAGATACAAAAATTTTCGCTACTTTAAAAAAACATTTGGTCATATTAGCGAAAAAAAAACAGGCAAGGTTTGTAAACAATTACATAGTCAAAAAGCAAAAAAGTTATGGATCAAAAATAAAGACCACCAGGACCATATTCACCATAACGCATATATTGATTATTATCATATCTGCCATAATCATTATAATTATATGGATAATCCTGACTACGATAAAAATCATAATGATATGGACCATTACAATCATTATATGGTAAATTA